TTATAATGTATACAATCAAGAATAAAAAGATTTATATTTATGACAAATTCGTAGCGTTTTTTCGCTGAACATACCGTTTGTTGCTATCACTACTCCATTAGCTTCCCTAATAATAAGTACACCAGCAGCTACGTCCCATGGCATCAGACTATCTGTATGGTAAGCTTCTGCTGCGCCCATTGCAATATAACAAAGAGTTAGTGCCGCTGATCCCATTGTTCGTATGCCATGGGCAATCGAAACGAAAGCCTCCAATCTACCAAGAATAATGTCTCTGATGTTTTCTATTGTTGCATAGGAGGTTTCCAGACAAAGCAAAGAGTATTTCAGTTCTGGAAAAATAAAAATCAAATTAATTTTAACTTACTGATCTCTCATTGAATTATTTGAAAAAGAGCTTTATTAAAAATTACAAACATTGATCATTTTATTCGTTTGCGTAAAATAAAGTAAATAAAAAATAAATGATAAATTATTAAAAATATTTTCGCTTTAAGATGTATGCTAATTGTAAATTTTAGCACTAATTTGTTAGCCGAAAATTAGTAGTATCCATGTTCTTTGTGCGAAAGATAAGGATTGTCTAATTAATGAACTTGGATACTGTATTTACATCACAATATATAATTAGTTTCGATGTCTCATAAAAAAAAATAATTTGGAACTTACCATCTACGTTAGAACTCTTAATGGGATTTCCATTTAAATAAGCTCCTTGTCCTTTTCTAGCAGTGAATAATTGTTCCAACACGGGATTATAAATGATTCCAATTTGTACCTCTTTGTTCACCGCTAATGCAACAGATATACATGTAAAAGGAAAAGCATGAACAAAATTCGTAGTTCCATCAATTGGATCAATGATCCATGTAGGTTCATCCGTTAATTCTGGTAGATGACCCGTTGATGAAACCGTTTCTTCGCCGATAAACCTGTAAATGGTATAAGCCTAAACTTGACTAGAAATAGTTGATGCATTTTTTTATGACTTCAAAATAATCTTGCACTTATTATCTAAAATTGTAGAAAACCTGAAATAATGATTTCTTAAACAAAGATCATACTGTATGATGTTTGTTATATTAAAGACATTTTTAATAACAGCTTTATAAAAAAACATACTTATGTGTTGGAAATTCTCTAGTCAAGTTATCTATCAAGATTTCTTCAATCTTTTTATCATATTGAGTCACCAAATCCCAATCTCTACCTTTAGTTTCAATATTTTTGCAGCTTTTAATTGCATCTCTGAGAATCTAAATTGATACAAAATTGTTCTCGTTAATTACTGTGATCTTAGAGTTCTTATTCCTTGTATCATATTACTTTTTTCAAAAGCCTTATATAATATGGAAAATTGATCATTTTTATTTGAATGTAAAACTATTATAATACCTTTCCAGAGTCGACTATGAGTTTCAAAACAAAATCGTAGTAGTTGATCAGTTCCTGTTGATCGACCATAATGTCCTTCTCTAAAACAGGGCGTTATTGTCACTGTGCTTGCAACTTGCTGAATTCGAAATAGTGGTTTCATACACGAGAGCATTGTTTTTATGCTATTGTCCCCACTATGTATTATATTCCATATTGTCTAGCATGAGTGTCGTATTTTATTACACGTATGTCACATGTGATTATCACTACTCTACGTCATGCAGTCTACTGTAATCAATCTAAAAGAAATCGTTGATTATTGTTAAGTTACCATAAAAATATATCTTAATCAAGATTTGCATCTATATTCTCCTAGAAATGCGGAAGTAATAAAAACAATTTATTTATGCATTTTGATATTATTAATGATAATGGTTATGATGAAAGTAAAATAGTAAGCTCAGTGTTCAAGTTTTGTTATGTCGTATGAATTTTCAAAATATACATGTACATATAAAATAGGGGTGCTCGGATTTGGAATCTTTTTTGGGTTCCCAAAATGTGGTAATAAATGATAGAAAAAGCAAAACAACTTTTGTTAATGTGCTGTTTAATGAATGGGCTAATACTAGCTCAAATGTCATTACAAAATGAATTTATAATGGTCGCATCAACGATTGATTATAGTTGTAGAAAAGTATCATATAAAATGTTGAAATCAAGCTCAATAATTGTTTTCGGGCCCTACCATTGTTTGTTCTTCCTCATTTATAAATAAATTTTCATCGACTTTTTGTTATAAAACGAATACGTTCGAATCAGTGTGATCTTGCCACATTTCATCAAAGGTTTGCTAGCCTCAATAGCACAATTTTTTTATTAACTTTCTTTTATTGCGAGTGTCAGAAGTCATGAATGATGACCTATGTATTCTTCAACTATTATAATCCTTTAATCCTACATAAAATAAATAATAAATAAATAAGTTTTGTTTAGATATTCGTCAATACAGTCGATGAAAANATTCAATTATCAAGTAAACTCCGTTAAGTGCGAACTACATCTTTCTTTTCAGATTCTCATTATACGGAAAGGAGTAAACAATTTTCATAGAAAAGGTTTTTCGATCAGACTTACTGTTTTCTAAAAATACACAATGGAAGAATTAAAATCCTATCAATATCTTCAATTTTTGTTCATAATATTGATCACTAACTTACTTTCTAACGTGATTGTATCTTTGATATATGTAAAACGCTATTACTTACTTATGCATATGAAATCGATTGGGACAAAAATAAGCTCTGATTGAGATTTATTGATACTGGATAGTTTGTTTTACGTTTACCACATGTTGACCACGAAGAATATTATCGTTTTATCCGTGTGGCTTAAAACACCTGAGAAAAATGTACTAATCTTTATTACCACGCGTCATAATGTTCATAACGATGTATAATAGAACTTTTTATTGCTTCGAACTATAATTTATTATCTCCTGCATTATCGCATCCTCGTATTCTGCCTTAAAACTGTAAAGTTTAGATCCAATGAAGTTAGTTATTTATTCTATGAATGCCTTTAAAAATGTAATAAATGCAAATGAAGGTATACGATGTAGTAAAAATGGCACTAATGGTCTTGAATGCCTGTATATGAGATTACGGAACTTCAAATTTTGAAACAGCCCATACAATTGTTTCATTATTTCAAGTTCATATCAATAGGTATTTTAATGAAAATGTAATAAACATAATGTATTCGTTGATTTTAATTTTTACGTATACGGTACTAGTATTTCATTGCGATAGTGCAATGGAAAGATTAAAAGCAATAAATTTTCTCCACTTTTTTGTCTGATTGAAGTAGATAGAAATATTATTTATGACATTCTATTTCATTTCAAGATAAGGATTTAAAATTGTTTCCTATTCTATCGAATGTTTGCATTACTTGTCGCTATCAAATTAATAAATTTATTTAATTTACTATAACTTAAGACATTCTGAGGAATTGAACTATTCTCTATTACACCGGCTGGGTCAAAAACTGTAGTACAACCGGGCAGGGGGTGATTCTATGTTAAAAAAGAAGAAAATATTTTGGTATAACATTTCTTCGACCGGAGCTCCGTTTTCGTGAAAATCGACTTCAAAGTTTGTAAACTTTTACTTGTAAACCATTTAATACAATTTGCTTTCCATTCAATGCTATATTCAATGCTACGATTCCACTACTCTGGTTGTCTCTGTTCAGAATAGTGTTCACACACATTGACAAGAATGGAAAAGTTCGGTTTACAATAAGAATTATAGTTTATCAAACTACGTAAGAGTTCGCTTCTTCTCATTATCATTTTTCTGATGAAGTCATTAAGCTATGGTAAGATATTCCAATCGAGAATACTTATGTTGCTTGCTTTGGGAGCTTGCAGTGATAATCCCACTACCGTAAGTAAATCGTTTACGATTCCCGGCCCACCCTATATATACCGAAAACAAAAATTTTAGAAATTTAAGTGAAAACTTTTGCAAAAACTTATTGTAATGACAACTTTATAGCTTGGAAGTACCTGTAAATATGTGTATGTATATATAAAATAGTTAATCTCATACACGTAATAAAAATAGTGTGAAATAAACATAATAATACAAAGGTGAAGAATATTTCTCTTTTTTATGTTAAAGGGCCAAGGTGGATCCGGCGGGCCAGTTGGCCAAAACTCTAGCTCACAGCAAGGACCCGGAGGACCCATGGTACCAGGACAAATGGGTCCGAACGGACCACAAGGAACATCCCACATGATGCAGCCTGGTCCAAATCAAATGAATTCGAATGGACCAGGGCAAATGAATACTGGACCTAATCAAATGGGATCAGGTGGTCCAGGACCTATTGGGCCTGGTCATATGGGACAAGGAGGTGGAGGGCCACCAGGAGGACCTCACATGGGTCAGAGTCCTAGCCAGATGGGACCAGGAAGTGGATCCGTACCAGGTCCACAGATGAGTTCCGGAGGACCACCGAATTCTCAAATGATGCCTGGAGGTCCGGGGCACATGAGTGGTCCGCCAGGGCCAGGTCATATGAACACAGGCGGACAACAAGGTCACATGAGTACGGGTGGCCCACCTGGACCGGGACACATGAGTTCTAATGGCCCACCAGGCTCGGGACATGTTAATGCGAGTGGTCCACCAGGATCAGGACATATGAATACTTCGGGACCTCCAGGTTCAACTCATATGAATGCCAGCGGTCCGCCTGGAAGTCATCTAAATAGTGGGCCACCTATGCCGAGTCATATGAATGCGGGTGGCCCACCAACATCAGGACATATGAGCACCAGTGGGCCAGGAAGTCATTTAGGCCCCGGAGGACCAGGTCAAATGCCACCGGGTGGTCCTGGTGCGCACGGTATGGGGCCAGGAGGACCACCAAATCAAATAGGGCCTGGTGGCCCAAGTCAGATGGTTCCAGGTAATCAAGGTCCCATGGTGCCCAGTCCTATAGGACCAGGAGGACCCGGGCAGATGGGACATAATGGACCTTCGCAAATGGGTCCGGGTGGACCTGGGCAAATGAACATGGGGACACCTTCATCACAAATGGGAATGACAGGACCTACAGGACCGGGAAATCAAATGGGACCGGGAGGACCAGGTAGTCAAATGGGTCCAGGAGGGCCAGGAAATCAAATGGGTCCAGGAGGTCCAGGAAACCAAATGGGTCCAGGAGGACCAGGGAGTCAAATGGGTCCAGGAGGACCAGGGAGTCAAATGGGTCCAGGAGGACCAGGGAGTCAAATGGGTCCAGGAGGACCAGGAAGTCAAATGAGTGCTGGAAACGGACCGAACGGGTTAGGACAAATGGGGCCAGGAACTGGTCCTGGGGGACAAATACCACCAGGTAATGGACCTGGAGGTCCCATGGGTCCTGGAAGTGGTCCTGGCACACAAATGGGATCGAATAGCGGACCAGGAGGTCAAATGGGCCCAGGTAGCGGTCCCGGAAATAATGGTGGAAATCAAATGGGAACAGGAAATCCTCCTGGAACTCCGCTAACACCAGGAAGCGGTCCTAGCGGGCCAATGGGTCCAGGAAATGGTCCAAGTGGGCAAATGGGACTAGGAACTGGGCCTGGTGGTCAAATGGGACCAGGAAATTTGCCTGGAGGTCAATTGGGCCCCGGAAATGGTCCGAGTACTCAAATGGGTCCCGGAAGTGGTCCAGGTTCACAAATGGGTCCAAGTGGGCAAATGGGTCCTAATGGTCCTGCAGGGCAAATGGTTCAAAGTGGTCCAGGGGGGCAAATACCATCTACTGGCCCTCCAAATCAAATGGGACCGGGCGGTCCAGGCAGTCAGTTAGGTCACGGTGGTACAAATAACCAGATGGGGCCAAATGGTCCAAGTGGGCAACCACCTCCTGGTCAAATGGGTCCTGGTCCACAAAGTCAACAAATCGGCCCTGGTGCTCCGGTAAATCAAATGAGTCAGGCTGGACCTGGTCAGATTGGTCCTTCCGGACCTGGTGGACCCCCTGGCGGACCGCCCGGTGGACCACCTACTGGACCGCCTGGTGCTGGACAAGAGAACTTAAATGCTCTGCAGAAAGCTATTGACTCCATGGAAGAGAAAGGACTTCAAGAAGATCCGCGTTACTCTCAGTTGCTTGCTTTAAGGGCTCGACAAGGCAGCATAGGAGACAAACAAACTTTCAGTCCACAACAATTACAGCAATTACGGTACATTATATGAACGATATTAATTGTTCCATTAAATACTTAATTTTATCTCAATTTTATGTATTATCATTTGCAGTGTACAAATAATGGCATATCGGTTGTTGGCAAGGAATCAGCCATTATCGCAACAACTTGCACTTGCTGTTCAAGGTAAATTTTACAGAATTATTATTGCTGTTACTTTTGGGTGACTACTCTATCTTTTGCATTAATGTAGTAATGTTTTTATAACATTTTGCTATTATTAAAAGTTTCTAACAAGTAAAAGTTCAAAAAGTAAAATCACAATGCATGTGATTTTTTAATTGAGAATGCTTTGACATGTTTGTAATTTATTATATTTTAAAATAATTTGACTCTTATTATGATATATGATGAATATTGAAATATGCTTTAGATTGCCATTATTTAATAATACAGTTTATTGATGGCTCATATAATGGTAATTTTCATTTATATAAATTAATACAGTTATTTGAAATTTATGTTTTACAATTTGTATCTAACATCAGAATGAAAATGCAAAAGTAGAGTAGAATGATCTACAGTGGGGGTTTGATGGAAGATTGATGTAAATAGGTGGAGCTCCTCCTCCAGGTATGGTTCAACGGCCTCCTATAGATCCATCTCAAGGATCCACTACAACTACAGGTCCACAAATCTCTGGACCTAACGTAATCGGTCCTGGTGGCCCTCCAAGGCCAGGTTGCCAAACGCCGCAGCAACAGCAGCCTCCTCAGCCAGGTGCCAAGACTAACAGAGTAACGAGTGTAGCTAAACCAGCTGGTTTAGATCCGTTACTGATTCTACAAGAACGTGAAAACAGGTATTCGTCAGATATATTGAATGTACAATAAATGTTGGTTTGATTAGCCATTCATGCTGTTGTAAAATGTTGTAAAAAGGATTAATAATAACTAAAAGCACAAAATATATTATTTTTAATACATCTTTTATCCAATTGCCTTCATAGTATATTTTTTATTTATGTTTTTTATTATAATATCTTTCAATTTTGAATATGTACTAACAGAGTGGCAGCGCGTATAGCATTACGGATGGAACAACTGAATAACATGCCAACCAATATGCCAGAAGATCTTCGTATCCAGGCACAAATTGAGCTACGAATGCTTAGAGTACTGAATTTCCAAAGACAGTTACGGTCAGAGGTAATTGCGAACAGCGTTAACAATGTTTATAATAAATATTTCTTTTGTTTATAATTTTTATGGTCTTTAAGATTCTAGCATGCACTCGAAAGGACACCACTTTAGAAACTGCAGTGAATGTAAAAGCTTATAAACGTACGAAAAGACAAAGTCTTCGAGAAGCTAGAGCTACTGAAAAACTCGAAAAGCAACAAAAATTGGAAGCTGAACGTAAACGTAGACAAAAACATCAAGTAAGTGTATTTTAAGATTTCGTAATAAAAGCTTTCATAAATAATAATAATAATTGCATGTGATTGGCGTTATTCTATTTTAAAGGAGTTTCTCAATTCTGTGCTACAACATGGCAAAGATTTTAAAGAATTTCATCGGAATAATGTGGCCAAATTGGCTAGGCTCAATAAAGCCGTCCTCAATTATCATGCTAACGCTGAAAGAGAACAAAAGAAAGAACAAGAGCGTATTGAAAAAGAACGTATGAGACGTCTCATGGCGGAAGATGAGGAAGGTTACAGAAAATTGATTGATCAAAAGAAAGACAAACGCTTAGCGTTTTTACTATCTCAAACCGACGAATATATTAGTAATCTTACTGAGATGGTGAAGCAGCATAAGATAGAACAAAAGAGGAAACAAGTTGAAGAACAGAAGCGTAAGAAGGTATGTTTTCTATTCTCTTTGTTTGTGATCATTATAGTAAGTTAATTGTATTATTAAAGCAAAAGAAAAAGAAAATGCAAGAAGCTGCCGAAGGAGGCGAAGATGGAAATGCCAACGAGGATACTCGTGTAGGAGTCATTGAAACAGCTACTGGACGCACATTAACCGGTGATGAAGCTCCACTCTTGAGCCAACTTTCAGCATTCTTAGAATCTCATCCAGGGTGGGAACCAATCGAATCTGAAAGTGAAGATGACGAAGAAAGTGAGGATGATAATGATGGTGACGAGAAAGGTGAACATAAAGAAAAATCTGCTGGTGATTCTGAAGAAGACAAAGTCAAGAAGACGATACATAAAGCCAAAGTAGAGGATGATGAATACAAAACAGAAGAACAAACATATTACAGCATTGCTCACACTGTACACGAAGTGGTAACAGAGCAGGCATCTATCATGGTCAATGGAAAATTAAAAGAATATCAGATAAAGGTTCGACATTTACAAATTAAAAATTAAAAATTTACATTTAATAACAGACATAAAAGTTGTATTTATTCCAGGGTTTAGAATGGTTAGTTTCATTATTTAACAATAATTTGAATGGTATACTTGCGGACGAAATGGGTCTTGGTAAAACCATTCAAACAATAGCTTTGGTGACTTATCTGATGGAGAAGAAGAAAGTCAATGGGCCTTTCCTTATTATTGTACCATTGTCGTATGTAGTACTTTTAAACATCTTGAGGAATAATACATTTCAATGAACGAAAATGATATTTTTAATAATATATTTTTATCATAGGACTTTGTCAAACTGGGTTTTGGAATTTGAGAAATGGGCACCTAGTGTTGTAGTGGTGTCCTATAAAGGTTCACCAGCCGGTAGAAGAGCGATTCAGTCTCAAATGAGAGCCACTAAATTTAATGTTTTACTCACTACGTATGAGTACGTTATTAAGGACAAAGGCGTTTTAGCTAAATTACAGTGGAAGTACATGATTATTGATGAAGGACACAGGATGAAGAATCATCACTGTAAACTGACTCAAGTACTAAATACGCATTACCTAGCTCCTCATAGATTATTATTGACAGGAACACCATTGCAAAATAAATTGCCCGAACTATGGGCACTATTAAATTTCTTGCTTCCTTCAATCTTCAAATCTTGTAGCACTTTCGAACAGTGGTTTAATGCACCATTCGCAACCACTGGTGAGAAAGTTGAGCTAAACGAGGAAGAAACTATTCTTATTATTCGTCGCTTACATAAAGTACTACGACCCTTCTTGTTGAGACGTTTGAAAAAAGAGGTTGAGTCCCAGTTGCCTGATAAAGTTGAATATATTATTAAATGCGATATGTCTGGACTGCAAAAAGTTCTTTATAAGCATATGCAGAGTAAAGGCGTATTATTAACAGATGGTTCAGAAAAAGGAAAACAGGGCAAAGGAGGTGCAAAAGCATTAATGAACACTATTGTGCAATTAAGAAAATTATGTAATCATCCATTCATGTTTCAAGCTATTGAAGAGAAATATTCCGAGCACGTAGGTACACAAGGATCTGGTGTTATTACGGGGCCCGATTTGTATCGCGCTTCTGGCAAGTTTGAACTTTTAGACCGTATTCTTCCAAAATTGAAAGCAACTAATCACAGAGTATTATTATTCTGTCAAATGACACAGTTAATGACCATTATGGAAGATTATTTAAGTTGGAGAGGATTTATGTATTTACGATTAGATGGTACGACGAAAGCTGAAGACAGAGGAGACTTGTTGAAAAAGTTCAACGACCCGGGTTCCGAATATTTCTTATTTTTATTGTCGACACGTGCTGGTGGTCTCGGATTAAATTTACAAGCTGCAGACACTGTTATCATCTTCGATTCCGATTGGAATCCGCATCAGGACTTACAAGCACAGGATAGAGCACACAGAATTGGTCAGAAGAATGAAGTGCGCGTGCTGAGATTGATGACGGTTAATTCAGTCGAAGAGAGAATATTGGCCGCGGCTAGGTACAAATTAAATATGGATGAAAAAGTCATACAGGCAGGAATGTTTGATCAGAAATCCACTGGCTCTGAACGGCAACAGTTTTTGCAAAGCATTTTACATCAGGACGATGCTGATGATGAAGAAGAGAATGAAGTACCAGATGATGAAACAGTCAACCAAATGATCGCACGAACTGAGGGTGAATTTGAGATATTCCAAAAGTTAGACTTGGAGCGAAGAAGAGAAGAAGCTAAGTTAGGTCCAAATAGAAAATCAAGATTATTAGAAGAAGCTGAGTTGCCTGATTGGTTGGTGAAAGACGATGACGAGGTTGAACGATGGACGTACGAAGAAGACGAAGACAGATTTCTTGGACGGGGCTCGAGGCAGCGAAAAGAAGTTGATTATACTGATAGTTTAACTGAGAAAGAATGGCTAAAAGCAATCGACGATGATGGTGCTGAGTACGAAGAGGAAGAGGAAGACGATAAAAAGAAAAAGAAAACACGAAAACGAAAGAAAAAGGGCGAGGAAGATGATGAACCTATGCCAAAGAAACGAAGAGGCGCGGGATCATCCATCGACCCGAAAATGAAACGAGCCATGAAGAAATTGCTTATGGTAGTCGTTAATTATACCGACAGCACGGATGGCAGACTTCTTAGTGAACCATTCATGAAATTACCATCTAGGAGGGAATTGCCGGATTATTATGAAATTATTAAAAAACCATTAACAATCAATAAGTTACTTCAAAAGGTTGAAGAAGGAAAGGTAGGAATAGTGTCTTTTGTATAATGTATGTTGTATTTACCTTTTATGTCACACTTTGTTACTCCCTTAGTACGCCGATTTTGATGATCTCGAAAAAGACTTTATGCAACTTTGTAAAAACGCGCAAATTTATAATGAAGAAGCTTCTCTAATACATGAAGATTCCATAGTATTGCAATCTGTTTTCACAAATGCCCGTCAACGCATCGAAGAGGAAGGCAATAATTCTGATTTGGATGATAAAGGTATTTCTTATTATGCTACAAATAGGAGAAGATGGAATGATTTTATCCCTTTAAATTTTTTTTAAGGCGATGGTGAAGATGGATCAGATGCAGACTCTAGCGTGAGAATGAAAATTAAGTTAAAAGGAAGAAAAGGCGAAGGCAGGGGAGGTCGTAGAAAAAGGGTCACTAAGAAGTATATATCAGATGACGACGATGATGCCGATGACAACTGAGAAGAGTACGTGAATTTTTACAATACTTGACTAAAAGTTATAACTTGATTATAATACTACACTACTATTAACACGTTAAGCGCGGCGTCGGTCTCTGGGGACCGACAGTGAACTTTCCGTTCAGGCGGCGTCGGTCCTTTGGGACTGACAGTGAACTTCTCGTTCAGGTGTTCACACGTCCCAGGAATTGGTAGTATCGAAGTTAAGAAATAAGAAATAAGTGTAGTACATTATTTGTCAGCTAACCGAAACCCGCGCCACCTGAACCGAAAATTCAGTAAAACTGGCTCCGCGCTTAACGTGTTAATTACTCAAGTTGTAAATTTTAGGAACCATCGCTGCTGATAATTGCATCATTGTGTCTATGTTGAATTGAACTCTGTAGATTTGATATAAAAATGGCACGAATTCGGATAGTTCATAAGTAATTTTTTATTTGATATAAATGTATGTTCAACTTGTACAATGTACAGTA